AGCTCTCTGAACAGACCGACAGGGTGAAGAGAGGAGCCCTCCACTGTGCAGGTCACTTCCCAGGCAGGACAGTGGTGAGGCAGGCTGCCAGGCTCCACGATGGGAGGAACTGCTGTCCTCCACTTGCTCTCAGCCCCCTCCCTCCTTGCACAGACCCCTTGTACACCCATGGATGCCTTCTGAAACGCCCTCCACAAAGCAAACTGTTTCACCAGACACACCGGCTACCAAGTCCCAACAAATCCCCAAGCCCTGGAGAGCAACTTCTGGGGCTGAGGCAACGGGAGCACGACTAAAGCCAAGCTGAAAGCTCCTGGCAGGCAGTGACAGCACCGTGTAAAGTGACTGTTAATTCTGCTGTCGTTAACAAGGACGCTCCAGTTTCTCCCTCACGTGATTCATCCCGTGTCTCCCAATGACTGCTGCAGGACTAACAACCTGCCTCCTTGCAGCAGGCAGCTCCCCAGTTCCAGAGACAGATTGTCTCTAAGTCACCTTTCCCTCCTTCCTCCACATTAATACAGTCAACAGCAGAAGGCTGGCTCCTAGCCTACAAACACATTTTCATTAAAAAAAATTAAAAATTGCCATTTCGTCACTCTTGAAAAGAGCAACAAAATGTACAAACCTATTACCCTGATTAGGTTTTACTGGTGAAAAAGGAGCCATTACAACATGAGCTCATGATCTGGAAGGAACAATCTTCCTCTAAACAGGTAAGTCTTCCTCTCAGTCATCAATTAGTAGGACTTCCTGAGAAAATGCTGAAAATAAATTGTTTAACATCTTAATCCCAGTTTACTTTTACCCTTGGGTTTGAATTCCCAAAAGCTGCTAATACTTCAGCACTTAGCAGCTGGTGCCTGGAAAGCTGCCTGCCTGATGCTGGTCAGTCAACTCTCACACTGTCTTAGGTCTTTCAAAAATAAAAATAATACAGGATTAGTTTTCAGCACTCCAACGTTTTCTTGAAATGCTGACAAAAAAAAAGAATTCTTAAGAAACACATCATTGCTTCCTTAAAGATATGGTACTGATCCCAAAATGAACAGGGTTTTCTCTCAAATTTGTTTCCTCAGGACTCATAATTTTTGCATTCTTGTGGAAAAGCTGGAAAAACCCACCAGGGCAAGACTGAATGCTGTCAAGTAAAATACTGTGTTTGCCAACATATTTTATTCCATTTCTGTCAGAATTTGTTCAACACTTTTAAAGAAAGGTCAGTTAAGAGACAAACACCAGATGTACACACATAACCCCATTCAGCCACCTCTCTGAAAATGGCATTATTGGGAAAATGCATTTTAAGATGGACTCTTAAGTAACTCATGTGGAGCCAACAACTGCCCCAGCAAGCAAAGCACTGGCCTCTGTGAGTGTGCCCCCAGGATGGGCCCAGCTCTGCCCTCAGCACCTGCCATCTCCCAGTAACTCCCTGTCTCTGGAGCCACTCTTGGACAAACCACTTTGCAGTGCTGTGAACTGCACCAGGGAATTGTTAAAGCTAACAAGGGGGCAAAGGAAAGTTTTAAACAAGCCTCTCCCCAGTTTACCACAGTTCCACCATCAAGTGTGCCAGCACCCGAGGCAGGGGAACATCACAGCAGAGGGGTGGGAGGGAGCACCTGGGAACTGCAAGTCCTGCACCCCAGTGTGGAGACAGGCTCCCTGGATCACCAACCCTGCCCGAGCCCCAGGACAGCCTCTTGGGCAGGATCTCTAGCACTGCCTTAGGAGGCTCCCTACTAAAGCAAGTAAGATTTTACCAGGGTAGAAGAGCCTCATGCATGAGCTCTCTAAGGGCAATCACACATCAACTTTGTGCCTGTGTCTCAGAGCACTAACTGAAGGCAGTGAAGAGGCATTTAAATATTATGCTGGAAATCAGTGAATTAGTTAAATGTCAACATAAAAATGATAACAGTGGTGTATGCATTTCAAATTTCAAAAGTATGATTTTCTTAGGAACAAACTCACCAGCTACTCAGGTAGCTGATACAAAGATTATGAGGGTCTTGGACTACAATTTGGCCTTGCTCCCATCACTTCAGTGGGGGCATAAAAATCCTTGCAAAGGTAAGGCTCTGGCACAAAACTCTTGCTGCTTCTTTAAACAGTAGCTGCACTGCATCATGTTATCTCCCTAAGCAGCTATCCCACTTTAGCTTCCTCAGAGGTCAGCCATTCACCTCGGCTCAGTACATCCGGTGTAGAAAGAAAATTCCTTAATCCTATTTTATGTGCTTGTTTTCATACACACAGCCACAATTGGCTCTATTGAGCCTGGGCCATCCAAGAAACATCTGCTGCTGCCTCTGCTGTCCAGCAGACAAATGTTTAGAGGGACAGCTGTGCTGTGGCTGGCTCTTCTTCTGTGCTATGGCAGAGGTACATAAAATTCACAGAAATTTGTTACTTCAAATGCAAAGCAAGAAACTGCATGGAATTACATGTCAAATTATTTCAGGACTTAAATCACTGCCTGTGCTCACTGTCTCTGAGAAACAGAGGAATCAAGAACATGATAAAAAAATGGCTAAAATTACATGCTCCATTTACTCAAGGAGTTTATTTCCCTTTGGTAAATTTACTTAAGCATCCTGGATCAGAACTCCCTCAGAGCTTACCACAGGATGGATGTTTCCTTCCCTCACTTGGGCTCATGAAGGGCTCACCTGCCCCTCACCAGAACAGGCTTCCTGTGGTTCTAGCACATGCTTACAAAAACTGACCTCTCTACTTTTAGTTCCTTTTAAATTAGCCTTAGCTTCCTGGAAGGAGAAGAAAAGGAAGAGGCATAAAGCAACCATTAAGAGGAATAAACCAACCAACCAAATGCCCACCTATGGTGAGACATGAGGCCACAGGTATCTGCAACTGTACCACCTGCTTTTGTGCTCCACAACACTGCCTGGGTGATCATGGGAGTAGGCTCATCTGCCTGCAATATTCAACTCTGTTTTCCTTTGGAAAGAACTTATCCCTGGTGAAACAGAGGGGCTGTTGTACATAGGGGGCAGAGATATTTAGGTCACTCCAAGTAAAATGCAAACCCATAGCTGCTGGCCAAGCACAGCCATGGATTCTCACAAGTGTCAAGTTTGAAGCAAGTTCGACTCTCATGTGTTGAAGAGGCTTTAGCCCACTGAATAGTGGCTGCATTAACCACCTGGGCACATTTATTTCCCCAGATTAAAGGAAAAAGTTGCCTGTGATAAAGAAAAAGTGAGTTTGTTACACCTGGAAATGAAGTGACACAATCCCATCGAGTCACTTATCATCAGTCTTTGCTGACCAGTGAGTTTTTTTAATATACAAGAACAATTCTGGATTGATTTTGTTTCTCTATAGAGGACAGCCCCCAACCCCTGTTTTGTTGAATGACATCCTTTGTTTCTTGTTGGTCAGAGCACTGAAATATAGAATTTAATACTCTATGAACAATTTCAACAGAATATTTAATAAAAGGGAGTAAAAAGTTAAATACTTTTTTTAAACCAACCCCTGTTTTGTTGAATGACATCCTTTGTTTCTTGTTGGTCAGAGCACTGAAATATAGAATTTAATACTCTATGAACAATTTCAACAGAATATTTAATAAAAGGAAGTTAAATACTTTTTTAAAAAGCAACATCAAAAAAGTCCATTAAGAATAAAATGCAGGTCCATCCATTTGTCCAGTCTGCAATATCACTTATTCATTTTCTCCTGTAACAAAGAGGTGCACATTTTTCTTGGACTGTAGCATTTGAGCTGTGCGATCTATGCCAACCACTGCAGCCAATTTCTGAGCATCATACTTGGAGTAGAGCACAGTACAGGTCCAGGTAGCATCCACTCCATTCTCTGTGGCCTTCATCATATTACAAATCTCACTGTAGAAGTGGGAGTAGGTTGGTAACTCATAGAAAATGAGGTTTCTAATGCCTTTTATCATATACCTGTAATAGCAGGGGAAAAAAAAAAAGTAACTTTGTTGCATTTTTTTTTTTGCAAATTGTGCATATTAAAGCATAATTCCTGTATCAATTCTTCCAATTTCCATCAACTTCAATGCACATTAGTTGTAGCTCAGCTCTAGAAACCCTGTGTCATGGACTGAAGACCAGACTTAACACAGGTGTAGAATTTCAAGGGTGGATATCTAACACTGCCAGGCACAACAACTACTTCCTCTAAAGTGCAGACCACCACCAATTTCTGCAACATTCAGTCTCTTTAGCTTGGATTTTAACAGAGTGAAGCCTGATCAGACTGAGCCTCATGAATCTTTTCTATTTTCCAAAACATCTTGTGCTAATAGCAAAAAACATTCCATTAGGAACTTCTAAACAGCTCCAGTCAGGATGCAGAAAATTTTCCAGATGGCCTCAGCTTGCTGTATTGAATTATTGAACCAATTACTTATCCCTTTCCAGAATTTTATGTCATTATTGTAGCACAGATGAACAGAAATAAAAGGCACAATGAATCCCGCTTTGCAGGCTCTATCATCCTGCCCTGACACCAGCAGAACTTGGCAGCACACACCTTCCTGAATAAAGCCCTGAGCACAGCAAAGTGTTAGCCCCTGCAAGGGACTGCTGACAACGTGCAAAAAATTTCACACCAGCCAGAGAGATCCAACAGATTCAAAAAGCAGCACAGCCTGTCTGTGATTAAGGTCAGGCTCTACTCCCAAAACAGCACAAGTACCAATCGGAGGAAAACTCAGTCCACAAGTCACCTTTTGTAAAAGTGGAAGCGCTCCGTGAACAGCAAAAACTGCTTCTCGCCCTGGAGGAAAAGGCGCCGTGCCCTGCAGACAGGGCCCTTCTTGGTGTACTCACAGACGTGAGCAAAGCTCAGCTCCTCCTTCTTGAAGTAGTTCCGGAGCCGCACGTAGTCGAAGTAGGAGGGGACGTAGAGGAGCGTGTGCGCCATGACGGCGTCGCGGTACTCGGGCAGCACTTTGCCCGTGAAAAACTGAAACCTCAGTGGAGAGACAAACAGGTTTTAACCAGAGTTAACACTCAGCTTTCCAATACTGACAGCCCCTCAGACAGGAGGGCCATTAGAACACAGAAGATTTTGACTAAATTTTTCCTTCACTGCACAGGAGTTTTACGCATCGGGCAGCACTTTGCCCGTGAAAAACTGAAACCTCAGTGGAGAGACAAACAGGTCTTAGCCAGAGTTAACATTCAGCTTTCCAATACTGACAGCCCCTCAGACAGGAGGGCCATTAGAACACAGATTTTGAGTAAATTTTTCCTTCGCTGCACAGGATTTTTACGCACGCAGGAGGTAAAAGGCGAAGGCTTTGTAAGTGGCCTTACAAAGGTAAAAGGCGAAGGCTTTGTAAGTGGCACACAGTTGTGGTAGAGACTGATCTTCCTGCCCCAGGCTTTATTCCCCAGTGCCTTTGGCAGGGAGTTCAGTATTCCCTTCCACCCATGCAGAGCCTAGCCTGCATCTAAGACTAACAAAGGCATACCCCTGTGGTGAGATCACATGTGTTCTGCAGGAAATAGTACACCTGGCTAAATCCATTACAAAGTAGAGACTGATCTTCCTGCCCCAGGCTTTATTCCCCAGTGCCTTTGGCAGGGAGTTCAGTATTCCCTTCCACCCGTGCAGAGCCTAGCCTGCATCTAACAAAGGCATACCTCTGTGGTGAGATCAACTGTGTTCTGCAGGAAATAGTACACCTGGCTAAATCCAAAACTGCAGTCATTAGGGCACAGCCAAACAGCCTGGGACAGAGTACCTTGCATCTATGACAGAAGTCACATCTTCAGCTTCTAGCCTCCGAAAAACATGAGGAAGCTGGACCACGACCTGGCTAATGGAGCCACTGAGCGGCACGTTACGGACGGCCACCTGCAAAAAGCCAGTCAGGTGTTCAGGGAAGCAGCATTTCAGAGACAGCCACACTCCAGCCAGCCTTCTGCTCGTAACTGACTCCTGCAAGCAGTGCCCAAGCCTGTTTTGAAGAAAGCTACATTCAGATGCACATGTACCAGATCTCTTAAATATACATGACTGCTGCTTATGTCCCGACTTCCACATATCCGAGATGGACAACTAAGGTTTTTCACTTCTCCTGCTTCTTTCAAAGTAATAATAGTTTGTATATAAGAGGAGAAAGAAAAACAGGATGCAGGCAAACCTTTCATTTAACAACAAAATAAATCAAACAAAATAACTTGTGTCAAATTAAGAAAAACCAAAATCTGATTTCTGACGTGAAACAGCTAGCCATGCAAGCGAAGGGCCAAGGAAGTATCACTGCAAGAAGAGTGTTTCTTCTTTCCTTTGGCACAGCATCAGAAACTGTCATGCAGCATCATGGAGACTCAGACTGAAACACCTGGGGGATGGAAGCGCCTGGCACGCGGACAGTCTTTCTGCAACAGGGTTATGGAATTTTTCCATGTGCTGGGTTTTTTATTCCTCTCCCCCTCCCTTATGCCAGCATTTAAAAGAAGGCTTCCAGCCCTCCTGTGAGCTCACCTGTCCCACGTAATTGAAGCAGTGTTTGTTGAAGACAGAGCTAAGCTGGGGATCCTGAAGGCTGCTGAAGAGCAGTGTCTGGCGGTAGTACCGGGACCAGTTGTTGAGATTCAGCATCCTCACTCGGGAGAAGTCCACCCCGTGGGAATCCAGAGGCAGCAGGTTCATGTGCTTCATCAGGTGCTGCACAGGAGGGTGGAAACACCTCACTACAGACCAGCATCCCCACACCCAGACTGCAAGAGCCTCAACTGCAGTGAAGCAGTGGGCAGGGATGAGCAGGAGTATCCACCAGCAGCCACTGCCCCAGGCACGACTGGCTGGAACTTACTGACCACAGCAAGAGCCACTGACTTGATTCCCCACCACAGAACTGAAAGCTGCCATCTCTTTAGTTATCAGTACCAGTCACCTTTGCTTCCCATCTTCTCCCGTGGGGCAAGTAGGATGGATTTGTTTGTATTAATGTTAACGGGCCCAAGGTTTCTTAGCTAAAAGAACCCAAGTACAATTCCCATCACATTCAGGGAGATTTTGGGTGCAAGCAAAGAAATTCACCTCATTTAGGACTCACTGAATGATGCCTAGGAGTGGCATTGCTGTGGCCACGTGGCAGGCAGTTGCACCCAAAAGAAAAAAAAAAAAAAACAAAAACCAACCCAAAACAAACATGAAACAGGCTCCAGGGCTCACTCCTTGGACATTCTGTAGGCTCATGTGCCTTTCCAGGGACTCCCCAGGAAATAAGACACCTTTTGGGCTCCTTTAAAATGTATTGTAACATCATGCTGTCCCACAGCCTAGCCCAGGTACTTCAAAGGTGTTTCTATGTGGAAAACCCCCCCAACATTTCCATCTTGAAAACTTTTATTAGCCAAAAGCCAAAAAGCACTGGTACTACCATGTACTAGCCACAATCCAAAAGCTCTGATTTCATTACATGTGCAGAGAAATCTTCACTGTTGAACTTTGGAGACAACTAATACTTAGTATCTCTGCAGTCAGTGGAGACAAGCACCAGCTCCTATAGCTTTCTGGAGGAACCTGAATTAGGTTGCAGATTCCTCACATGGCTGCAATATGACACTGGACAGTCAGACAGCTGGCATATTTTCTCACAGAGGTGACTAAAGGAGTCATGATGACTCCTTTATCTCATCTTGCAAGATAATGAAAACTGTCAGAAAAAAATCTCTGATGAAATATGCCACTATAGCACCAAATACTAAGATATGAGTATTAGCACTAAGAACAGGTGCTGACTAAAACCAAAACCTGTAGAAAGACTATTCTTAGTACAAGGAAGATATCAGGGCATACATGTCTGGACTCAAGCCTGTGAAAATAGCAATACTGTGCTGCCCAAGCTAAATTCTATCAGACTCAGACACAGTAGAACAGAAATGAACACACATGGAAAACGCACCAGAACGTGTTCCCAGTTCTGCATCAGGTAAATATCTGCTTGATCAATTATGAGAATTTCTATTGATGACAGAAAATCAAAATCTCTCTTCTTCTCCCCCTCTGTGCCAATAATGGTCCTCATGCCCAGGGGAGATGCAATGATGATATCCGATGAGTAGAAGGGTGCATAGAGTCTCATGCTCTTCTGAAGAACTGCAACCCCTGTCCAACAACAACCAACAGTATGTTCTCAGTTAAGGTCAGTGATCCACCACATTCTTCCAGCAGGCTCTGTAACTCCCTACATCTCCTCTGCCTTAACACATTCTAATGCTTACAGCTGGACAAAACCAGTCTGAAACTTGTCTTTCCCTGTGAAGTGCTTACCCACTCCACCACTATCTGACAAGCATTTGGCAGATTTTCATCAAGTCTGGCAAACTCTTTCAGTAGTACTTTGTTCCAGATTTTTCATAGCCTGGACATTTTTGGAACTGAAACACTTTTTTTTTTTGTGTGATTTTCTGTGGGGGGTGAGGGGACTGAAGAACTTAAGGGGGAAAAAAAGGCAGAAATGATTAATCATTCCCTTCTCCCTAAATCCTAGATTTTGGTCTCTGCCATTAGGTACTACAGTAACTATTACCTTAATCTGTCATGAAAGACTGAGTGTGTACCTCTTGTCTGCCTTTAGTGGACGTGAAAGCTGCTACTAGAACACAAAGGAAAAGGTTTTTCATGTGATGATGACTAAAAGCATAACTGGTCTTGCACCTTCCCAGGCACTGCCTCTCAGAGCTTATGTTGCCATGTAGGTGCTGAACTCACTCTTGCCATCTCTCACGTTAAAGAGGGAAACAGTAAGGATCCAAAGGCATTTGTTACCTATGTTGTAATTACATGGCAATGTTGCCAGGACCCATGGTTTCCTGATCTTAAAAATCCAGGCAGCCTGGGCCACATGCCAACCACAGTCTGCCCAAAAAAGGTGTCTCTCCAGCTTCCTCCCCTCTCCGTGTGAATGTAGCTGTCATGGGCACAGCTGGAGGCACTTGTAAAAACATTTCACACAGATCTCACCAGAGACCCATCCTGCTGTGTATTTTGACCCAATGATAAAGATGGAAAGAAAAAGAAAGGCACAATTTTTTGCATTTCCGGGAAGAAGATAATACTTCTCAAAGCATCTACAGAGTTTAACAACATCAAGTCTGTTCCCTGTTTCAAAATGTGGAAGGGTGGCTTTAGTAAGGCATAACCAATGTGCTTTTTATTAGATCTTTGTGCAGAAGTAACAGGGCGTGAGGCACAGTAAGAATGAATAATTATTCTGCTCCTATGGTTTGCTTCTGCATGTAACAGCACTGGAAGTTTCTTCAAGCTAGTTAAGTGGATCAAGCAGACTGTGGTATGGCAGAGGACTGAAAGGAAAATTATTATGCTACTAGAAGTAAGAAGCTCTCAGCCAGAGAGATATTCACTAGGGAAGGAAGAAAGACTGAGTGGGACCTGCTTGCATCCTCTACTGTATCATTAAATCTCTTGGGATGTCAATTTATCTTTCAGGGGCAATAATTCTGAAAGCCTCTGATCTGTCAAGTTAATTTAGAGAAACTGCCTACTCACCACAGCAGCTCCAGGAACCAAGCCACTAGCTAATTCTCTGCATGCTGAGTTACTAAAACAGCATCAGATTACAATATTATGAAATAGTCTCAGATTTGCTGCTTGTCCAACAGTCGTACTTGTTGGCTATGCCTTTGCTTTCACAAAAGCCATGGGCAGTACAGCAGAGAACCTGCTTTTCTCAGTACTGAGCCTTAATTTTGTTCCAATGATTACTGATTGCAAGCGACACTGTGAAGGGCTAATTAAACCCAAAAGAGTTGGTTTTTTTAAATAACATGAAAGACTGCGCATAATCAAGGCTATCCTCTTTAAAATGAGATGTGGGCAGTCCTGCTACAATAAAGCAATCATTGCTTTTTAAGTGATTTTGAATTTGATGTGAAAATCATTACTTTTGTATTTTATCTTCCTTTTTAAGCTTCAGCACACCAAGAAAAGGTTTTTCAGAAAAATTCGAGTTGCCAGCGCAAAACCAGCACGAATATCACAGAGTGTAGCTCTCACCTGAACTTCCAGCCCTCAGAGTTCCTAAATATTTAGGGAGAACTTGTTATTTCTCAGTTCTTTACAAGCTAAAAGTCATCCATTCAGTAGGTCATTACCAATTCTGAAGTGATCATCAATGTTGCCAGCAAAGATGGCTTCATAATCTTCAGGTCTTTTCAGGCTGGGGGGCTTCTCTTCTGGGTCAGACCCATACTCCCCTTTGAAACGCTTTTTATTACTTACATCTATTTTTCTTTTGTCATTCACTTCAAGAAGACTGATGAAAATATGCACAATTCTCAAAGCACATTCTCTGAAGGGCACTATCATCAGTACCTGCATAGATACATAGTTACAACAGAACAATCCATAAAATAGGAACACTCACAGTTAACTGTATATCAAGTTTGTTTGGTTTTTTCACTTACATCTGCCCCCATGGGGCATCCCAACAATCTAAACAAACCAATTCTGACACACAGCATGGAGGGAGGATCCTCAAGAACAAGTACTGACCATCAGCTTGGTTTGGTTCCCCACCTCACACCCAAGACACCATTATGGGGGAACTGAAAATCAAGCGCCTTTTCTTCCTAACCCCCAAGCAAGCAAGAGCTCCCACAACACAGGGACAGGCTCAACAGCTGGCTCCTGGGTGGGTGGCCACAGCCTCTGCACAGTCCTCTGAAACCTAAGTATCTAACTGGAGACTCAACAGAGAAACCAAAAGCATTTGCTGGGTGTGCAGCAAACCCAACTTTGAAACAGTCCAATAGGCAGGTGGCACCACCAGTGAGAGGCTGTCCCTAGTTGAGTCCACCTGGTTATCAACTAGAGGATGCTGTGAATCTTGGGAGGCTTGGTTTGAGGCTCACTCCACCAACTATGACAGCAGGCCCCAGCAATGAGATTGGGATTTCCCAAAGTCTCCCAGGTACAGAAAGATCCTTCCATGCAGGCAAGGCCCTAAAGGACAAAAAATGTTTCTGGGACATCCCACACTGGGTGCCAGCCTACACCACCTGCACTAATACTGAAGAGTGATGTGGAGAGACCTTTGTGTATGGGTAGATTTAGAAAAGGAAGCAAGAAGAGGCAATATGTCAGCCTGCAGTGACAGGAAGACAAAGCAAAAGATAAGCTAAGCCCATGGCTCAGCACTGCAACAGGCTGGCTCACAAGCCTGTGCTCACTGCTCCTCCCAGGATATTTGCCCTGGCCATGGCTGACGACTTCCAGACATGACAGAGGGATGTAGGAAGGCACGTGCCCAGGGACGTGTCACCTGAGAGGACAGCAACAGAAGAAATACTTCTGGCTAAACTACCAGGATGCTTACAGAGCCTGCCCAGACAGCCAGGGCAGGGATGGGGGAGATCACCTTAACGAAGCTCCCTTACCTTTGGCCTGGTGAGTCCCTGATCCCTGTAGTCATCACTGTCAGTCCCTGGCTTCTGGTTTCTTCGTTTGGTGTTGTTGCTGAGCACCTGGGCATTTGCCTTCAGAACATGGTTCAAGGCATGCAAGCAGTAGGCGTGCCGAATTTCTTCTCCATTTGTCAGAGCATTCCTCTCTGGATAGAACAAGTCCCGGTATGTGTTCATGATACAGAAGAGCTCTCTTTGTAAGGGGGTAAAGCAGGGGTCGCTTGCTTTGCTCATCGAGGACAGAAATTGTTTATTCACTTTTGGCCAAGTGGATTCTAAAGGCTTGTGAAGATAAAGCTGTTTCACATCAACTTCTTTGTCTGCTTTCAAAGCTTTGTGTTTCTCCAAAGTGGAAGAAAAAGTCAGTTGGCCCAGCCTTGGCCACTGAAAAATAAAAACCCAGAGAGGAATCATATGCACCCAACTCAGTACACTTAAAAGCACATCACCACAGCTGGCAGTTCACTCAAGTTCATGAAATATGAGAAATTATCTTTTCATAATGCAAGCAGAAACCTTTTCTTTTTCCTAATATGCAACCTCTTGTAGAGTCTGACAAGGTAAATAACAATAAACCTGGGCTCAGTAGATCTGGATGTATTTTTCAGTGATCTGTCTGCAGCTGTCCTCATTTTACAGATGAGAAGAGGCAAGGAAGAGGAAGGATGTAATTTCTGCCTAACTCAGACAGCAAATCCACAGCACAGACCAGGAACACAATGAGAACCCTAGAGTCCAACTACTGCTGCACTGTGGTGCAGATCAGCTGCACTGCAGTATGTATTTTGTTTAAAGATGAAAACAAAACCCTATTAGGGACTAAACCCAGGAGCTCCGAACCAGTTGCTAAATGCACTTGCTGGATGTCTGATTTTGAGGGCAAAAGCTACCAGTGTAGTAGGGGAAAACTCTAAACTTTAAGCCTTCTGCCTTTCAAGTTATCTCTATTTATCTCTGTAAAGTAGCTACTTAATCAAAGACATATCATGTGTTGCTTCAGGTGGCACTGGTTATTTTTGGTCACCATATTCCAAAAAAAAAGAAAAAAAATAATTAAAAAAATCACATCTTACTCTGACTGACTAATCATTGGATACCTTCCAATGAATGCCACCCAGCATATGGCTGACCAGAATGCAAGGCAACTCTCCAAAACAAAATCAGGTGTAAAAAAGTTAAGAATCAAAGGTTTGTCTAAAAATTAGTATTTTGAAAACCAATATTCTCTCTCAACCAATGTGGTGGTTTTCTGGCACTGTAATTTACCCATTATTTCAAGTAGTAACAATATAAATTCCTCTTTACCAGCTTGTAAATGTGTACAGAGACACAGTCACCCTGAAGCAGGCATGTCAAAGTGCAGCACGAGTACTTGTAAGACTGTACACAATCACCTTACAAGTTCAGCTGCTGAGCACATCCCTGGCACGGTGCTGTTACCACTCAGAAACCAGTCCTGCTTCTACCCAGTGTCAAGAGTATGAAGCCTGTGGGTTTGAGACTACAGATCAGAGTCTAACTCTGTGTTTTTCCAATGCATCGCCATCTGCGTACATAACAGCAGACTTCAGACTTCAACTCTCACCCAGTACTAAATGAACAACACTTCAGCAACACCACAGTAATAAAATCTTGACAACTGCAGTGCCAACAGCTAATAATACATGCTAATAGTGTTATTACTAGAATGACAAGCCAGCACCACTAGGGATGCTACAAACATTTCTCTCTCTCAAACTACACCACCTGATATTAAAACCACCGAGCATGACATACGAATAGAAGCTAATATTAGATGTATAATAATAATTATACATCTACTTCACTGGTATAATAAAAGAATTGTTTTAATCCAGGCAGGTTTAGGAACTCTGGATGGCTACAGAACACTGTTACCTTGCTTTGACTTGAAGTTTTACAAAGCGCAGACATTTTTTCTACTTCTTTCTCTTCAAGCTCTCTGTCCATGTGCTGTTTAAATGGATCTGTTTAACAACAACAAAAAATAGCTTGAGAACTATTGCTAATACTGGAACCAAGCTTCAGAACAGATTTGCAAATGAGATGAACAGTTTCCATGCTGGACCACACCACAGGTAAAACTAGCTACTTCAAAGCACTTGGAGATAAGAGAAAGGATGTCAAATTCTCTCCACAAGAACAGAGAAACCAGATTTGACAGACTGCTTTAAAAAAAGAGAAAGAAGCACTCATGGAAGCACCAGAACTTTCAATCAGAAAAGAAACGTTGGGCAGGAAAGCAGCATATAGCAGAAAACATGGCAACTTTCTGCCTTTAGCTCTGACACATCCATCCCCCGCAGGTGAAATGTCAACAGCAAAGACCCGAGTGACCTTACTGTCCTTAATTCACAGACAGTCCAGCCCAGGGCTCTGCACCCTTGGCCTGCCATATGAATAGAGAGTTTGTGACAGAGCAGGGAAAGATGAGGCAGGTTTTGGGGAAGGGAGGCGAAAACTGCCTGAAGTGGCTCAAAGTCCAGTTTCTCTTATCAGCATTTATGTTTGGAAAGGGGAGGCAAGGAACTGTAAAATCCTATCATATTCAAAGGCATTGGCATGGACAAAGTCACATGCAAAGCTTATTTTTAAAACTGAGCCCTGTGTACTGCTTGCATCACAGCAGCACTCACTGCATAAAGAGAACTAATTAGAGAACACTGATGCTTGCCAAGGAAAATCCAGTCCACATACAAGTTATTCAAGCAAAAGTCAAGATATTCCCTAACCATGACACTGTTGAGAAAACGTTCCCAGCAGCACAAGTGCAGAGGATATCTTTCCATTCCAAGACAGGCTCTCTCTTCAGCCAAGTTCTATCTATTGTCTTGTTTGACAGACAAAGTAGAGGGAACAATGTGAAGTATTTTCAGGAATTCTAGTGACCTCAGGGAGAGTAGAAATTCATCCCTCTTCTGCTGTCTTAGGTTACTCATTTTCCCTAATAGGTTATAAAGCCACTTCCAGGACACCAGAACCCACTGAAAAGCAGTGCATCATTTATAGGTTGAACAAAGCTGTTAGGATGCTTAGCATGCAGTTGGAGAGCTACAGCTCTCATTAAAATGCAATGCCAACAGCCCAAGTAATATTCTCATGGTAACAAGAACGTGCTGTTTTTTCTATCACATGGCCCTTTGATGCTTCCACACATTTCATGTCTCAGCTAGGCTGCCTCCCAGATCTAACATAAGCTGCTGCTCCAAGATGACAAGCCAGCACCACTAGGGATGCTACAAACATTTCTCTCTCTCAAACTACACCACCTGATATTAAAACCACCGAGCATGACATAAGAATAGAAGCTCTGCAAGTGCCAGCATGTGTCAGAGCACTGAGCAATCACACACCCCTGCACACAGGGATCTCTACCACACGTGGTGGGCTGACTTCAACACTGGAGCCCAGACTGCACCCATCAGCACACTGCAGCATTCCCATCGAAGAGCTACACCCTCAAAAGATACCCCACAAAAGCTCCACTGATGCCTCATGCCTTCCAGATCCTGGTGCAGTTGGACTCCTCTGTGTAACCTTCAAAATTCAGAGAGCTCTGAGCATTTGTCTAAATTACTGTGGCTGCCCCAAGTTTCCCAGAATCTCACCTCTAACTGCACTGAGTTGTGAAGGATGCCCTCGTAGGTCAGCTTTGTCATTATCTTCTGTGCCATCTGTGCCAAAAATATCTTCCATAGTCAAATGCAGACTTGTAGGGCCATTCATATTCCACTAGCTTTTTAAACTACTCTTAAAGCAACAAACAAGGTAACACCCTCCACTCACATTTCTAGGCCCTGATACTTTAAGCCTCATTGGTTGTAACAGAAGCTCTGCACAAATCCCAGTCCACATGGGCTACAGAAAACAAATGTTTCAGCTACATGTCTGCATCAGCAAGAAGTGTCCCTTATGGAAGCAGCTCACAAATGGGCAGTGCAATGAATAAGGCAGCAGAACTCAGAAGCTATACAGTGTATCATTAGGGCATTTGAGAGTTTACACATTCACAGATATTCCTCTAGAGGCAGATCACCAAACACAAACACACTGTGCTTTACCTTCTGAAAAAGCTTGTGAAGAATCCCTGTCTCTCCCGTCTGCATTGCAATCTCCACTCTCCTCTTCCATGAAATTGGTTTCCAAGCTAAATTCAGATTCGTGTTTCACATCAGTGAACTCCTCAGTTACTCCATGACTCGGGTGACAAGAGGTATCTGTGCCATCAGCCTGCTCCTGGGCAAGCAGCTGCTCTGCTGTGTCTGTAGCTGGGAATTGTTGTGGACAGAAATAGGTTACATCTTATCCTGGAAAAGCTACTGTCTTCTCTGCCTCTTGTCAGCTGGGTTGTCCCCTTTAAATTATCTCTTTTTTTCCCTCCCAACACTCTATCCAATAAAAGTAAAAGCAGACTCTGTATTCTAGAGTAAAGAAAATTTTTGGCTAGCATGCCAAATGCTATATAAATGTATTTCCTCAGAGAAAATTAAAGAAGTAATCTATTTGTAAGGTTTAGTTTCCAAATACCCCAAACAACCAAAAACAATAAAAAGTTTCCTCTTCTCTCCCAGAACTTCTTTGCAGCCTTCATGAACGAGGATGCCTCACCATAAAGAGAGGAGGTTTCCTTCCAGTTTACACCTCTCCCCTCTGCTAGGAGGCAAGCCTTTCCCTCCTCTCGGTGGCAGCAGCCACGCCAGCTGCTGTGTGAGAGAACAGCTTGTGTTTCCCAGGAGTGGGTGAGAACCCCTGGTGAGCAGCTCCATGTGGAGCTCCTCTGTGCTGCCGCACAAACAACATCTGAGGGAGCAGCAGCCGGCTGTCTGCCGGGGAACCAGCACTGCTCCCCTCCCTCCTGCCAAGCCCTGCAGCAGCTGCTGCTCCCGCCCACACAGAGCCAACAGAGCAACACAGCCTCCAAGCTAGGAGAGACCCAGACAATGAGCAGCCTACACCAGGATCCTGGCTGACAACACGTTACTGAAGCTTCCTAGCTGAAGCGAGGGTTACCAACGCCTGGGAAAAGACAAACCACCTTCCTCCTGCTCTGCTGCATCACCCTCCTCTTCTTCTCCAGCCTCCTGGGACCCCTCGCTGTCCAGTCCTGTCTTGCCTTCCCCAGCTTCTTCTGATTCACTTTCATCTTCCTCTTCCTCACTCTCAGGCTGGGGAGAGGTCTCCAGGGTAGCCAGGAGCTTACGATACACAGAGACCTGCTCCACCTCAGCCTCCGAATCGCTTTCTGCGCTCGACTGATCAGAATGCTCAGGCTGCAAGGGAAAACAGGAGTGTAACACCAGCAACAGCCTATCAGGTACCAGGCAAGCACCCTCACCTCTAGTTCTCATGTCATGTTTTCCCTTTCCCATCCCACTCTTATGCTGACGTGAGGGAATTTTTCACAAACTCACCATTTCATGCAGTTATGCTGGACGGCCCCATTTAGATTCTGAAAGCATCTTGGCACACTCAGACTGAAGTGCCCTGTTCTGCACTGATTTGACTTAGAGCATCACAAAATTTGGTTCATTCAGTCTCAGTGGGGGGAGTACATTTGATCTCTACAGACAGGGAATTTACTGAACTGGCACTGGATTTTCCTAAGAAAGCCACACACAGAGCAAAAACTGTAGAAGGGCACATCTATAAGGGTCAGAGCACACTGAAAATGCTTCTGGCTTTCAAGGTAAGTGAAATAACCATCAGCTGACCATAGTCCACCAGGGAGCTGGTCAGGTTTAGCTTTAAAGCTCCAAGCTTCAAACAAGCCAGACAGGGAGGCAATTCTGTCCTGGGCTTGTACAAAGCAACGAGTGTGCCAGGTTTAGCCAAAACTACAGCGAAGCCAGGAATCCAAGCACAGCACCATGTGCTCCTTCCTTAGCTCCTGTCAGCCCCCAAAGGAAAAAAACGTGTGACATTAATGTACAAAATTGATAAAGGAAACAATTGAACCAGAATAATTAATTTTTCCACACTGAAGCTTTAAAGCCTTCTGTTAATCTGATAATAAAGGAGGTTACCAAATCCTGAACGAAAAGTAAAGCACTGGCAATCTGAAGAAGAGGAGTGAGAATTAACATATTTCTTTGTTCAACTGAGAATAAAACATCTTGTAATTCGCATGACACTTAAATTTATTAAGGTTATTAAAACAACTTAAAGCATGATTTGCTTTTCACTGTGGCTAAGGAACATGCAAAACCCCCAAGAACAGCTATGTGACTTCCTGCAGCTTCTGTCCTCTCATCAATCTTGAGTTAGATGCTCTAGAGAACAATTCACAGCCACACAAAAGTCACATTCATTTTTTTTCTCCTAAATGCAGGTTCTCCAAAGGAAACAGCTTATTCAGCCTGAAGAATTTGGTATCATGCAATGCTAAGTGTTTCACTTCACTAAACTATGCAAAGATGAAAGCAAGGAAGAAATAAAAATGTATTACCAGTTCATAGACTGGAGTTGCTTCTGGTCTTCCAGAAACCCTGAAAAGCAAGCACTGAAATATCTTACTCTGACAATGATGTTATACATAGGATGAAGGAGATGAGGGGGAGAAGGAATCAATGAATTACACAAGTCTTACAGAAGTTAAAAGAAAGCTTAAAGTAAAGCATCACAGTTCTCCTTAGAGAAAAGAGACCTGGCACTTACCCTGAGAAGTTACTCTCTCAGGTGACACTACACTCCATATGTGAAATCTAAGTGCTCAAGCGTTTTAACTAATCAAGAAGCAAAATGTTTTGAAGTAGAATGTGGCTTTAATAAAAAAATTTATATCAGAACATGATGTGTTAAAGGAAACCTAAAGAATCTAACTACACGGGTAGTTTGCACAACGAAGTTTGGGCTTACCTCTAGCACTAAATATTGATCTGTGAGTTGGGAAAAAGGACACCTACTATAGGAAAAACAGCATGGATCGGCCACTGTTGAGCCTGCAAACAAGACACTGTACAAGCTGGGCTGTTGAACTTCTTCAAAA